GGAAATATTTTTCAATGTTTTATTAATACATATTATGGAGCATCATTTGTTTTTTGTTTTGCCTCATCATCTATATTTCGACGTGAAATAAAAAAACTTCTACATAGACAATACAAAGCCAAACATATATTGAATCGTGCGATTAGTGGACCAACATCTTCACATGAAGTTCGACCATTTATTCTACACGCACAAGTTAGCACAGCTAACTGTTCAAGCTGTAGTCGAATTAATGAGTATGTACTTGAAAGAACAAATTCCAAACGAGCAACTCAATCTACAAGTGAAGGTCAAGAGCTACATTATCAACAATAAATTGTTTTTCTTTTTTTCTCTCTCTCTCTAAATGTCCAATGAACGTAGTAATGTTTCTTTCGTCTTAATTCATATCTATGAAAACAACAATTAATACGATTTGTTATCCCTGTGGTTTTATTTGTTGGTGATTGTATTAGTTATTGTGTATATGTTTTCATTCATATGATCTGTTAAAAAAAAATAATAAGATTTTAAACTATTATTTCTTCTAATCTTAATTAAAAGTCTCAGATAAAAAAACAAAAGATCTTATAGTAAATAATTTATCTTCTTTCATTATTGAAAGCTTTTTTTCCTCTATAATAAAAAAAGTATATCTTTAATTTATCTATGAATTACGACGAAGATAAAAAAAAATGAATGAATTATTAAGTTTATCTGATCTACTTTCTTCTTTGTTTAAAACTTAAATAAAGATGATTACGCATATAATCATATTATCGAGAAATACGAAAGATTTTCAAGATTTCAGTGGTTTTTAGTACACAATAATAAAGAGAGAATAACATCACTTCAGCATGTTCGTCATTATTTTTATATTAATTAAACTATGACGTTTGCGTTTTTTTGAGATATTTATAGTAAATACTTTATGTACCATAAATTAATTTCTTTTCATAATATTTACTTGTAATCTCGTATCAGACTTTGATTGTCAAATATAGAAACAAGTCAATTTTTTTTAATCTATTATAATAACCTTTTTTTTTTGTTTTGCATTTAGTAAGAAATACATATTCATTAGCAATACTGATTAATAATTCCATTAAAAAAAAAAGAAAAGATTTGAATAATATCATACATAATATAGTTGTCTGTTTGAATATGAAGATTTAGATTATTTTGGGTTTTTGAGAACCTTTGTATTCTGGGTACATCTTTGTTAATACTTATTTTAAGATCTTATATTATTTGTATAAAACAAAATTAATTCATGGATTATTTTCCCTATCATTAATTCTATTCGAAAATGAAAAAGAAAGCTTTATAAGTCTTTGATTAATCATCAAATGTCAACTTTTGAAATGCAAATTATTCCGCCCCAATGATTCGAATAGAAACCTGTTATCTATACTTCAAAGGAGTAAAACATTACTAATTAGTTATTTTGCCTAACGACATTCATGACATTGTATCACTTTAACAAGTACATACGCCTTCGTTAATATTCTCCCTACCTTTCAATTAACAATTCAGTTTGGTATATCTAATTAATTGAAATAAAATTTAGTCATGTTATTAATTATAACATGAAATCTTCATATTAGTCGATAATTAAACACAAAAGAATATTGCAATACTCTATAGATGTAAATATATTATGTTATTACGAATGAGTTAATAACCTTTTACGTTAATTGTTATATTTTGCCCTCCACATGAGATGAAGTGAAGTGATGAACGAAACTCATTAATGATAATGAAATAATTTATTTTTGTTATTCTGTTTATACTACCTGACTTTTTGTTTGGCAAATTATTTCAACATGAAATAAGATAATTAGTTTATAATTGAAAATTATAGGTACTATAGATCATAGAGTAACAGATTGAATTATCATAATGTCTCTCAGAAGAAAAAAAACGATTTTTAGGATATAACTATTTTCAATCACCGATTGAATTGATGTAAATTTCTGGACATTATTGTTGTGTCACATAATAGATACTTTGATTGTGAAAAATCTGCGTGACAATGTTCATTCTTCATGTTATTTATCGTTACGATAGAATATTCTGATCAGTTTTTATCTATTCGTCATATAAATCCATGAAGATACAATATAAAAGATGATGAAAAGTACTTAGACTATTGCATTTAATTGGATGTCATTATTATATATTAGGATCAATAATTGTTTCCCTTATAGAAAAAAAGACAAATGATGAATCTACGAATTTGCTTCTTTTTATTATCTAGACTTTACTCACGTATATAAATAAATATAGGAAAAATAGATGACAAGTTACATTAATTGACTGAAATATAGACGTCAAATTGTGAGTAGGAAACGCATGAAATGTAGGTTATTAGTAAATTACTTTAGGAGTCATTTCATTATTAATTTTCTCAATAGAAAACCCAGAAAAAATGAATTGTTTTTTTTAGACTCCCTCAATCTAAATAAATAATACATTTATATGATATTTTCTCAGGAATAATATACAACGAGACTATATTTAACAATAATGATATTCACATCTGTTGAGCATAGCCTTTATCAATAAATTACGAACTGTATATTGTTCAAATTTTTAAAATAACACTTAAGTTATGATATTCTATTTTTGCTGTATATGATTGCCAGTTGATTGTACTGTGTTAACTATAGAAAATATATATAGAATTCTAAAACTTAATCTTACTCAAAGACGAAGCATTATTGATACATCCTGGATAAGCAAATGTTTTTCTGCCGATTATTATCTGTCTGAATAAGTGCACTGACAGAAGAATTAATCTTAATTTTTCTGTTTACAATAGTTTTTAATTTGTCATTTCTATATATAATAGTAGGAGTACAAACAAGGAAAATAGTTTTTTTTTTTAATTTTTCTTTTTGTAAGTGACGTCTGCAAATTTAGATAAGCTTGAAGTGTGTGAGTAAAAAGAACAGTCTGACAAGTTTGAGAAGTTCAAAAGTATGAAAGAGTGTATATTTTTTTTGATTAATTAAAATTCTTTCTAATTAATAAAGTAAGTTTTTTTTGTAGGATTACCCACAATTGCAGGTGCAAACAGTACTTCTAAAAAAGAACAATATATACCACTAGGTCGATAGAATAAAAATTGAATGAAAATAGATTCCGTATTACTGCTGTTATGCTGTTAGACTCGATAACAGCTAAAGATATTTTAATAAAATGAATCCTAATCCATAGGGACATATTGTTTTTATCTCGAAAGGTCAATTGGAACTCTATATGACGTCAATAAAGCTAAAATTACCAAATATATGTTCTGACATTCAAACTCATATTTAACAGTTGAAATAACATGTAAATCAAATGATTTGTTATAGTTATTCTATACCATAGACAGTTTCCGATAGTAGTTATTTGTTATCTAGCGCCTGTTTCAATTGTAATTTGCGGAGATATTTTATTAATTGATCAGAGAGATGTATCCACAACCGAAAAGTAGTTCAAAGTTCAATCATTAATGTATTTTGACATGTACTTGATTATTATCCAGGATGCGTGCTTAATAGGAGATATTATTTTTCACCAATTAAGAAAAAATATTCCACTAAGTAGAATCAGAGAAGATAAACAAAAATAAGTCTATTGCGGAGTTAAGATAATATTTGCGGAATGATGATTATTGATAAATATTACTATTGATGCACAATAGACAACTAATTTTGTTTCGACTCATAATCAAGATCACACCCACACCCTCAAGATGGTCTTGCATTATTGCTGGTTTATATGATAATTCTAGAAAAGTTATCATTGTTCATGGTTGATATTTTTATTTTATTGATCTGACTTAGAGATGTTACAAATCCCACGGATAATATGTATTTGAAGGGGTTAGATTCGGATATGATTTAACCTTTGCTACATCGGAAAGATAGAGTGTCTACAAAGATGATATACTTGCTATGAATGCTTTGGATTTGAACTTGGACACGATTCTAAATCCTGAAATTTTGTTTTCAGACTGTGAAGCATTCCTAGCAAGTGTATCGTTATTGTCGACATTTTATTTTTTAAATATGGTAGATTTGAGACTAAACCTAAATCTCACAGCTGTGGATTTATTGTGTCCCTAATTTAATTTGACCTCTTCTACTTTATATACTATTAATTATTTATATAATACGTATTGATACATTACATATGAGCATTTTCTTTTCCAAGTAAGTCATCGTATATCTCGTTTTTGTCTTATATTTCACATATACGCAGTCATATTTATCTTCTTCTCCAAATTCTACTTCGCGAACATTTTTCCGCACGGAAGTTATCTGAGTACATATCTAATGTTGTAAATTACATTAACAAACTGTAGGTTCTCCAATCTAGGTCGTCACAAACTGATCAATCACAAAACGAATAAATAATATAACAAGCTAATCATGTCTTTCATTTTAGTCTTCTTTGACATTAGATAGAACAATAATTTGTACTTTAAACGAGGTACTTGAAATATATTAATTAGTAGGCAGTCTCTAGTATCTATTTTATATCATGATTTTAAACAAAAAAGAAAATAGTAGATGACAAAAACAAATATATGTAAGCAGACTGGATAGTCTATTATTTCCTTCCAATTCAAGGGTTACCTTTTTCTTTACGACATCCAACTTCCTATATTGTTAATAAAACAAGAGTACTTAGTATTTTCTTTTACAGATATTTATTCAAAAAGAACAGGAAACATCATAAAAGAAACTCATATGATATTAAGGCTTATTAAAATACATCTATATATAGATAATTGAACGTTCTCCATCTGGAAGTAACTTTAAAATATTTTTAAAATGATCATGAAACGATGACGTGCAGGAACATGTCAAATAGTCTATTTATATAAACTTATTCCATACCAGTTCATTCTTTCTTTTCTATAGGGGAAAAATTTAAAACTGAAATTTGTCTACGTTCGTATTTAGTATATGAGCATAAACCTCGATGAAAAATACAAGGACTATACTATTCTAATAATAATTATTCTATATTGAACGTAAAAATCTTCTTAAATAAATATATTCTTTTATTTTAATCTTAAAAGTGGTGCTTGACGAAAAATAATAAAAAAAAACAAGTATATTACTAACTAAAAATACAAAAACAAGTAAACGATCAACAACTCGACTTAATATTTGCCATTCTTGTCCTACTGTTGTTAGACGTTCTTGTTGTTCATAACGACGTTCATTTTGTTCAACAAGACGATGAATATAATCAATAGATGATTTTAAATTATTCGTAATTCTATTTGATGATTCATGCAGATAATTCTGATTATCTTTATCATTAAATTTTTGTTGTTGCTGTTGTTGATGATGATGCTGTTGTTTATTCGATGAATTAGTTGACGATTGAAATGATGTATACGAACGTAGAATTAATGGCGGAGATGTATAAAAATCACATGAATGAAGATTATCAGAATATGTCAATGAGCTTGTTGCGATTGTTGGATCATTCTCAACAGAATCTTCATATAATGTCATTTTACCATTCTGTAAAATATTATTTTTATTTGTACAATCATATTTATTTGCTAAATATTTATTAGGTGGTTGTTTGGTTTGTTTTTTCTTTGTTTTAGTTGGTGATGATGACTATAAATATAAAAATAGATTTTTTGTTTAAGAAAAAAATTTTGATTTTATTACCATGCATTTAAGAAGACTACTTCGACGAACTTGCCAATTTGTAGGAAGTTCAATTTTCATAAAGAGTAATTTAGGAACAATTATAAAAAATATACGAGCTAACCATTTTGGAACTGGATGAGGATTATGTTTACCATGATGATATAGATTAAGAGATGCAACAGACATTGCTGTTGCTATACTTACAATTATAATTGCAGAAAAATAATAAATACCTAAACATAATGACATATGTAGTAAGATATCAATAGACTATTCATTTTTTTTTTGATTTATCTAGTCGATAAAAGTTATTTATTATTTAGATTAGCATACCAATTAAGGGTAAAGATTCTGAATTAGGCGGCATACTATCCGTAACAAGCATAAGAAAAACGGTCATTGAAAGAAGAGTTGTTACACCGATTTGTACTTTTTCACCTAATTTAGAATAAATAAATCAATTGAATTGATAATTAATAGAATAAATTGTACGTACCACTATCAGATGGAACACAAAAACCAAGAAAAGCAACAGTTGTAATAAGAAAACATGGAAGTATCATATTAAATACATAAAACAATGGACGACGACGCATTTGTACTACATAAGTTAAATCAGGAAATGTTTCTGGGCCTAATTATAGTTTCAATAATATTAGTGTGAATTTATTCTATTCGTTTACATACAACAAGAATATTTGACAACACTTTTTTTTCACATGTAATTTAATAATTTCCCATTCTAAAACAAATAATAAATATATGTATATATAATCAATAAGAAAATCTACCAGAATTAGCCATAAAATTACTTAAATCACCGATATTTGTTTTTTTGTGCTAAATCGATTCGAGCACTATCATAAGTCCATGAGGCAAATTTCAATGAGCAATTTTGTTCATCTGTATCATTCGATAAATTTATTAAAAGAAATATATATATTTATGTTTTTTTTACCAAAAGGAAAAAAGCGAACATCAACAGCACATGAACTTCTAAAAATACCCGTTGATAACCATGTAACCATACCATCCGAAGACACCATGACATTTGTTGATATTTGACTCAATGATGCCAGATTATCAGCATTCTACATCAAATATAGATTTTTATATAGTCAAAAATTTGAAAATTATGTTTTTAATAGAAATCAACGATAAAATATTATCAAATATCGTTATATTTATTGTAATTATAAGTGGTTAAGTTAAGTGTGCTCCATATTTGGAGTTTACGATATCTAAATTTTCGCGAAAATTGTAATCATCTGTTTTTGATTGCTCTAATAGATACTCTGAGTCGACTGGTGACGCTCAAGAAAAAAAATGCACAAGTACAAGCTACAATTTGTCGAAAAACTTGAAATTCGGAACTCACTTAGCTTGACCATTATAAATATAGTATAAAAAGAAAACGTAAACTGATAATTTTTGACAATTTTTTTCTATTTCTATTTTATCGAGAAAATCAATACAGTAAACTTTAGATTATTAAGAACATCTAGAAGAATAAATACGATATTTTTACATTTAAAATACTCAAATTTTTGCTCTTAAACGTTGGTAACAAATCACGTGTTTTCATAAAAAAAGCACGTTTTTTTCTTCTTCAGATAGTATATATATATCCTTATTATATTTTACGAAGAAAGTCCAAAACAGATCCGAGTTGATAGTATGAGAGTTAAATGAACTGTTAAATAAATTCTAATTGTATAATATCTTAGAATTTATTATAATAAACATTGACTTCTGTTAGTCCATGTTGAACTTAGATGCTGATCCGGAAGCAGGAAATCATAGAAAATTCTATTACTTTGTTGAAGCAATTTATTCTCTTCCTTCTTACTTAATGGCTCATATTAACTACAGTGTTTTTAACTTAATTTAATGGTTTACTATTAGAACAAAAAACAGAATTTATATGATATTTACATTATACAAAACAATATCAGGTAACCAAATTTTATCATATTTAATATGAAGTAAACTAACATTATCCCATTCTAATGGATTCCAAGTAAGTTTTGGATCAAGCCAACTCTATCAAATAATATATATATAATAGAATAAAAGCATCACAACAAAAAAATTTCATATGTAGAAATACCATAGTTAACCATTGATTTGTTGTAATAATTTGATTTTTTTCGTCAACATCAATAAGTTGAGCTAATGAGAGATCAAATGAAATATTTGTTACATCAGTATGACTAACTGCTGGCCGTACTGATTTATCATATACAATTGGATTTAATAAAGCTCGAGTTAAATTCATTTCAACATCACACATAATTATTCCTATTTGTGATAAAAAAAAACTATATTGATAATAAATACAAAATTGAAAATTCATACCTGATATTAAATAACAGACTATTAGAAATATAAATTCCTTATTGAAATAAAGCATTGTGTTTGTATGTATACGTGTGTTAATAGTGCGGAATGATAATAACAGTAAAAAGAGCAACTAAAACGGGATACCCCCGACTAATTGAGTTATTCGTTGTTATAGGCGTTGTTACATCCTTTGTTATTCCAAACTATGATGAATCGAACGAACGATCTTATCGAGCATATACGACAATACCAATCAGAACCTGACATTCGTCTTTTATTTTTATTATATGAATGAATATATATATATCCAAATGTATGTATAGTTGTTTTTCAAGGAATAAATATATATATTTGTTTTCGTAAGAATTTCAGGTGATGAATAATACAGATAAAAGATATATATATTATTTATACTAAAAAAAAGAAAAAAAAAGACAATGATCACAACTCATATTTTTTGATCATTCAATGCGGATCAAATCAGCAAGGGAAGAAATAACATGGTAAACTATGAGTACATGTTCGAAATAAGAAAAAGAACTATTTCATCTTATACAACAGCAAAAAAAAATGGAAGAAGAAGAAAATAAAAGAATGCGCCGAACATATCGTTTTGATAGACAGATGGAAAAAGACAAGAGTATTCTTCCGATGAGTGCAAAGAAAAATCAAAAGTTCGTAGATATATATATATATATACGTTGTTTAATATGGATCCTTTTTTGCGTAAAAAAAGCAACCGTGCGGAAGTGTGTGTTGTGACATATTCAAGTACTGTAATTTCCTTCACTAGTATTGTTTTCTTTTTTTTTTTTAATATGAGATTCTCAATTAAACAAGATCAATAATATGTGATGTTTCAGCAAATGATAACCGATCTATTTTTCTATCAATAAATATGATACTTTATTAAGGACATGCTTTTTCTTTTTGAGCACTTATTGCAAGAACTAATATAAGAAAGATTTGATGATGTTAATATAGAATAGACCTTGATTATTGAAGCATATGTTATTTTCGATTAGAAATTATTGAATAATTTCTTGTCTTTTATATTTAAATTACAATACTATGCTTCATAAATAATTGTATTTTCTAGTCGCAATAGTTTGTTTTAATTCAATTGAATAGAAACTATAAAGAATGAAACAACTAATGAAAAGGTTATTGAAGAATAAAAATCGATGATATTTATAAACTATAGAAAAAAAAACGAATCATAATCCTAAGTATCTTTACTGGTAAACTAAACATGGATGGACTCAATGTGTCTAAGTGTTCTTGTTTATCACGTATTTATCTCGACTAATACTAATTGTGTACCGTCTATCATTAAAGCATGAATAATCTGTAGGCGAAGGAAAGTTTTTCCTTGTAAGTGGTAAGATATTTCAAAACTATTCTTTATACACGTAATTAAGCAGACATTATATTAGTTTATGCATATCCAAAAGAAATATTACTTGAACAGCACGTTTCTTTTTCCGATTTCATGCTATAAACATATTTTTATCTCAAGAACACTTTAACAGTATTAACTTAAAGGTTTTATGATTATGTCTGGTCTATAACTAAAATCATTACAGTATTTCTTAGCAATGAGCTATTTGTATTAAATATTTTTACCTACATAGTAATATATATTAATGCTCACCGAATCAACATTTGTTAGAGTTCATATGTTGTCTGATAATCTAAAAGCAAGATAATTTTTCTTTGAGAAGTATTTTACCACCTACAGAATATAGAAAACAGCAGCTTATTACTTAAAACTAATTCAGAAGAGAAAAATGAGATGCTCACTAGGAACATAATCTTCATTTATGTTGGTGTACCTTCATAAACAGACAGAAGTTAAGAATACTTAAGACAATCTTTTAATCATATTTTTTATCGTAGGAAGAAATTCTTAAAGAAACATAGAATATTCAACGTAGATTTATTTTAATTATGACGGTTAAATTTCATTTTTACTTTTTCAAAAAAAAAAATGATTTATATATAAAATTGTCAATAAGATGAAAACTCAATATAAAATATTTGATTTATACTTTAATATTTAAAAAATTCACTACCATCATTGTTCAAGTATAATTTAAAACTATAGAACTTTTAATTTCAATCTTTCTATAAGCTATTGATTAAAACATATTCGATAATACCTCATTAATTTAGAACTGAAATAGTAACATCTATTAAATTGGATTATTATCTGATAGTTATATTGTATGCAAAACGCGCTCTCTCTCTCTCTCTCTCAAGTCAACTGTACTATAGTAGTCATTATATTTATTATTTTTTAATAAATTATTAAACACAAAACAAAATTGTCTTATATTATTTAAGTTTAAAAAAAAATTTTAAATTTACAGAGGTCGCTAATATCATAATAAAAATACTTTCGTTGATTCACACATCTTTCCCTTCTTTCTATTGTCATGACAATATTAAACACTAATGGTAGACATATTTTGTTGACTTCATAAAAAAAATTTAACATACACTCTTTCATTCAAGCAAACTAAATATGTATAAACTCGATCTTCCCATTGATCATAAAGAAAAAGCAGCTATTGAACGACGTCGTCGTGCTGAACAAGAACGTCAAGGACGAATATTCAATTCGAAATATCGACAAATAGGGGTTTGAAATACTCTGCGAATTTAATTGTATTCTTATCGGTTACATAGGTTGATAAAAATACTCTTGATCAACAAATTCAAGATCGTAAATGGATGGAAGACTTAGAACAAAAACGAGCATCTGCCTTTGGTAAATATCACAATTATAGTTAAACAAAAAAAACATTTTTTTTTCTCTCTTATAAAAATAGCTAAAGATGCCGTTCGAAATGATACTATAGCTCAATTACTTCAACGCCGTCAAGAATATGATGAAAGAGAAAATAATCGAGCAGTAAATGAATTTCGTGCTTTACATCAACAACCATTTGCTCAACGTAAAAAATCTAAAGGATTTTCTTCTAAAATTCTTATTATTTTCTAATTAATAGGTGAATGGGATTTAAATGATCCAGACTTCTTAAAGAAAGATATGCCAGCACGTATCTCTGACGATGATCCACGTTGTGGTATAGCTACTTTACAAAAATTTCAAGGTGAAGATCTTAATTCACGTGCACGAGCGAAATATCAACAAGAACAATTACGTGAATGGTCACGTTTACAGAAAGAAGATCAACTTCGTGCACAACAAGAACAACATGCAGCTGATCGTTTGTTTTTTGCTAAACAAAATGAATTAGATCAACGAGCTGTTGAACTTCAACGAGGTGAAGAACAATGCCGAAGGGATATTAATAAATCTGTTCGAAATTACAATGACGCATTAGTAAGTCATCTAACTATAGCATATTTTTTTCCTACCTCATATTAGAAAATCTTCGAAAAATAGTAGCCTTATATTTTTCTTCTATCAAAAAATGTCGTGGTATATAATATACTATCAAAAAAAAAAAAGAAAGAACTACATATTGTTAAATTAACTGTGCTTAACACATGACTTACTCGTATTGTGTATAATTACAGAGCTTTAGCGAATGAACTTTAAAAATTTATTTAAGCACGAAATATTGAGTAACCAACAATGTAAGTTATAATTAAAAACAAAAAAAATGAAGTACTTCTATGATGTCACTAGATTAATCAAGATTAAAATTACAAATCTAACGAAAAAGAAAACGGGAAAATATTCATATATTAATAATTCATTAACATTGACATCATAATATACAAAATAACTTACGCATGAGGAACATTCTATGATGAAGCATTGACATATACAAATATTCATATTATTTATTTACTTTAAGCTAGAACGAGAATACTTCATGTAACACTTATGTTTATTTTCGAGAAAAAAAAGCGTATAGCAGAAGACACAGTACTTAATGACCGTAGTTTTCATGGCAATTATTAGGGTAGAAAAAATAGATTCTTTTTAATCATATTTACATTCAGAATAAGACTGAACTATTTTTCTTTATTAATATAAAAGAATCATTTCTTT